GTGAAGGGCCTTGTCAGGGTCAATGGGAACCAGTCACAAATGGGGTCCCTGAGGGTCCCTGCTGGCACCAGGAGTGCTCCCTGTGTTCATCCATGGCACAGACAGTGGGATGGAGGCACCCTGGGCAGGTTTGCAGATGGCTCTGAGCTGAGGGGGCGTTTGATAGAGCTGAGGGAAGGGACCATGCCCAAGGACCTTGGCAAGCTCCAGCACTGCCTTAAAGTCGGATCTTGTATGCCCAGTAAAAATTGATGTTACACATGAACCACTCATGTCATTTCTCAATGATGCTGTGTTTGTTTCTGTATTTCAGGGCTCTGGTGCAGCTCCTTTGGGTCACCTTTGTGAATGAGCCACTGTGACTCTGCACCTGCAGGGCAGCTCCATTGCCCAGACAGCCTCCATCAGAGGAGTGCAGGATACCAGCAGACAGGATATTCAGCTGCACATGCCTTAACCCATGGGTTTTTGGCTAGATGATTTAACATTCCCTTGGGGAAACTCAAGCTCCAAGTCCAAAACTCTCAAACTTGCTGTTTGCAAGCTAGCAAGTCTTTACTGTGGGTTTCTTCCCTACTCATTTCATCTGTTACTGGAATTCCCACAGCAAGGATTTGCTGCATCTTTTAATGTATCCAACACTGAAAAGCCATTGTGGCAAGCAAGGCTGAAGCGACTTATTTTTTTCCCCATATGCACCTTCAAAGACATCTTCCCTTTACCCAACAACAGAGCTGCCCCACATTCAATTCAGTCCCTGATGCTTCCTTTAAGTTTTTCTTGGATTCCTTGTCAGAGGATTCCTCCCCATTACACTGCTGTGTTCTCCTGGCAGTACCTTATTGACTCTGTGTTAATCAGAGCAATCCCACAGAAAAGCTTAAATGAGATTCTCCATCCCTGTAAATCAAATCTCAAAAAATGCAAAGCCTGTTGCTGACAAAAGCAGTAATGAGAGACTTTCCTTCAGGGATCTGTAGAGGTCATCAGGAAAATAAATGTGACACAGTGCAATGTGTGCAGCTGGTTGTTTCTATAAGGAATTCCCTTCCCTGGAGGTGACTTGGTTTTGTCATTTACACGGATCCAAAGCTTAGTCCACTGAACAGTCTCCCTATCAAATCTCTGTGCTTCCAATTTAGAAAGAAGGAAGTTGGGGGGACCATGTCAAAGGCCTTGCAGAAATCCAGGGAGATAACATCTGTAGCCCTTCCATTTCCCACTGAAATAGTCAGT